GCGCACCGGCCATTCCTATATAGGATCCGAACCCGCGGCGGGAGCGTCGCTGCGCTCCCAGAGCCGTGCTCTCCCGAGTGCGCCACGGGCTTGGCCCTTTTTTAACTGCTTTAATGTCATGTAATTCATATACCATACAACACACCCATTTAAAGTATACAGTTGTTTTTAGTATATTCACAGAGCTGTGCAACCATCATCACAATCACTTTTAGAACATTTTCACTATACTGAAAAGAAACTCATTAATAATCACTACATATTCTTCTCTATCCTATCACTCTTCTCCCAACCCAAACCTTGGTGACCACTAATCTTTCTGTCCCTAAGGACTTGCCTATTCTGAAAATTTCATATAAGTAAAATCATACAACATGTGGTCTTTTTTGACTGACTTCTTTCACTTAGCATAATGTTTTGCAGGTTCATCCATGTGGGGGCATGTATCAGTATTTCATTCCCTTTTATTGACAAATAATATCCAACTGTATGAATATAACACATTTTATTTGGTACATATGGGTTGTTTCTTTTTGTCTATTATGAATAATGCTGCTACAAATTTTTGTGTGGGCATATGTTTTTAACTCTCTTGGGTATACCTAGGAATGAAATTGCTGAGTTACTATGGTAACTGAGTTAAATGGTTACTATGTTTAACCATTTAAGGAACTGCTAGACTGTTTTCCAAAGCAGCTGCACTAAGTTCATAAATCCACCAGCAGTATTTTCTCCACATTATCACCAACACTTGTTATTATCCATCCTTTCTGTTTTAGCCATTCTAATGGATATGAAAAGGTATGCCATTGTACTTTTGATTTGCAGTTCCCTGATAATTAACGATGTTGAGCATTTTTTCATGTGCTTATCAGCCATTTGTGTATCTTCCTTGAGAGCTGTCTATTCAAATCCTTTGCCCATTTTTTTAACTGGGTTAATTGTCATTTTATTGTTGAGTTGTAAGAATTCTTTATGTACTCTACATAAAAGCTTCTTATCAGATCAGTGGTGTACTTTGGAAAAAGCCCAAGCAATGTGTGAATTCAACTGTGACTTACTCTGCCACGTTCAACTTGTGTGGTCAACATTACAACCATGGAGGAGCCTTGTTCCCAAGTCATCTGCCAAAAATCTGTACAAGTGTGTGGTAATGGCCCTTGACAAGCAATGTACTGATTTATAATGCTGGAAGAAGGAATTTCCATCTAAAGAAAAAAAAAGACCATAAAATCTTTTACATTAATTACTTTAAACTATGATCAGGAATATAAAAAAAAAATCCACTAACTGATTGTTAAATTGAATAAAACTAATCCCAATACACTGCGGTCAATAAAACAAATCTTTATCAATAATTTCTTTTTTTTGGCAGCTGGTTGGTACAGGGATCAAATCCTGGCCCTTGGTGTTATCACACCATGCTCTAACCAGCTGAGCTAACCAGCCTGCTTACAATTTCTTAATTTTATCTTGGCAATGTCACATATTTATCTTCTAATTAGTAGAGCCTGGCCAGTCAGCTTAGTTGGCTAGAGTGTAGTGTTATAAAACCAGGGTCAACAGTTTGGATCCCCATATTGGTCAGGTGCCAAACAAAAACAAAAACAAAAACAAAAAACCCAAACAACCCAATTAGTAGAAACAGAAATTTAAATATTTTCCACAGCCCGGTGGTGACCACCGAGCCACTGCAGGAAGCTCCCTGGGCTCTCCCAAGATGGGGTAGTAGGGGGCTGAGGGCTTTTCCACATCCCCCTGACGTCTGCACCCAGCCCAGCAATCACCAAGCCACTGCTGGAAGCTCCCTGGTCTCCCCTGTGGGAATGTGGGGGGTGCCACAGGCCTCAATCCCACCCCTCCTCCTCCCTCCTTCTTCTATCCCATTTCTTTCTCTTTTCCCTTCTCTACCTCCCTCCCAACTGCTTTGCAACAACATCCTAGAATGTAAAAAATAATATTAATAAAATTTCATTTTCTTTAAAAAAAAATATTTTTTTCCCCAAAACATAATTATGGCTTTAAGTGCAGTTCACAGAGAATCATGTTTCAGAGACAGAGACAGTAAAAAAAAAAATTCTGCCACTTGTTTTAGCTTGGATTTTACATATAAAATAACTTTAAAAGATATTAGAAGAATATTTTAAATTCATTATTTTCAGAAAGAAGTGAGATATTTGGGGAAGATGAGTCATCATCCTATTATATTTTGAGATTGAATTTAAAAAAAAATGATACATGCACATGGCAAATAAAATAACAAAGGGTGAATACAGAGAGAAGTCTCCCTCCTATCCCAGCCTCTAGTTTACACCCAGGAGGGCAATCTTTTTTCCTAGTTTCTAGTATACCCTTTCAGAGCTATTTTAAACACAATGCACAAATGCCCACATAAAACTATCTTCCCACTTTTCTATAACACTGTTTAAAAAATGGTATAATGTTGTTCTGCATCTTATTTCTTTTCTTCACTTTATCTTTAAGATCATGACAGATTAGCACATAAAATTTCATTCTTTTTAACGGCTTTACTGTATAAATATACCATAATTTATTTAATACGCATTTAAGTTACTGCTAATTTATTTGCTACTAGCAACAAGGCTGAACCGAACACTTTTGTAAACCTAACGTTTTTGTGCAAATGTAGAAATATATTTGTATAGGCAACAGAAAGGAATGAGAATGCTGGATCAAAGTGTATGTGCATTTAAAATTTTGATAGATAGTGCCAAATTGCTCACCAGAAAGACTCTACCTATTTATACTTCTGCCAATAATATATGAGGGATGTCTGTTCTCCTATCCTCTCATTAATATATCCATAATACCTTGTCCACAATTCTAAAACTTCCAATTCTCTGAAATGCAAGTTTTTTTGTTTTTTATTTTTGGTAAACTTGACCTGACCTGGGCTCATTTGATAGCAAAATCTGATCTGATGACCTAAGACTATTTATACTCTTTATCAGTCCCACTTAGTAGGAATATCTGTAGTTTGCTACTGACTACCAATATATTCATTGCAAGTGCTGGCTGGTTAGCTCAATTGGTTAAAAGTGTGGTGTTGTAATATCAAGGTCAAAGATATGGATCCCTGTATGGGCAGCCACCAAGGGAAAAAAAAAAAAACTGATTACAGGGTACTTGTTCTATAGCCAGCAGGGGATGTTACTTATTATAGTATATGGTATATACACTGAATAATCTTTCTTTTTTTTTGTCTTTTTCCGTGTCCGGCAACGGATCGCAACCCTCAGTGTTGCCC